CGGTGTGACGGAGTCCCAGAAGGCTAACCCCACCGGCAGTTCGATGAAGCCTGCGTCCGGCCGCATCACGGGATGCCCCGAAATCGGGAACATGACGTTGGCCTCCCCTGTGGCCTCCTTGACGCACTGCGTGACCTCGCTATCGAGGAGCAGCCCCTAGGCGAGCGTCGTCCTGATGAGCTGCGCGTCGGGCGTCATCTTGTACAGCGAGAGAACGCGCGCCATCAGGGGCGCCACCCTCCTCGCGTGATACCCCCCGATGACGCTGGCCCTGCGGAGGCCGTGGGTCTTCAAGAACGCGATGGTCTCGAGGAGGTCGCACATCCTCTTCTTCTCCTTGATGGGTGGCCCCCACAGCCATGACGGCAGCACCTCTTCGATCAGACGCTCAGAGAAGATCGGCAAGGAAGCGGCAGGGTCGTTCTTCAGGTAGAACCAATGCGAGTGCCACCCCTTGTTGGATCTAGAGAGATGACAGGGCATGTACTCGGTCACCGCTGCCCCCGGAGGTGGATGCCCACGCATCCCATTAGCACCGGGGTCTCCCAGCTTCTCTCCTTGTTGATCAAGGAGATAGAAAAGAAATATCTCCAGAGCTCGAAGTGGGGCTCAATCCCTAGGTACCCCTCGCACATCGCGATGAAGGCCGTAATGTGCTGGATCCCATTAGGGTTCAAGTGTTGCAGCTCGATCTGATAGTGGTGCAGCAGACCCTAGAAGAATGAGTGAGGAGGAACCGCGAGTTCATGCTCATGGAAGAGCATGAAGGAGACGACGTAGCCATCGGGCAGCGCCAGCGCATCCTCGCGGCTAGGCACAAGCCACTCCACTGCATCGGTCCTCCCACAGAGAAGACCACTCTTGACGAGGCCTTCCATGCGTGCATAGGTAACATCGAAGCGATACCACGAATCCATGGAGGATGGAGGCGGTTGCGGAGAAGCGGAAGCTATGGATCTAGGGCTCTGGCGGTGGATTAGTAAGCACGGCAGATCCAAACGGTGACGGCGGAGAAATGGAGAGGGTAAGGCTGCGGTTTTGGTGTGTAGAAACATGAAGGGGAAGGCCGCTATTTATAGGATGGAGCGGGGCGAGAAGGCGAACCGTCCGCCTAGATTCACGCGCCTGCTGCGCCACGTCACGTCACCTTCCTCTGAAGATCGTGCGCACGCTATCTCTAGCCGCACCCTCGAAGGATACGCTAGATGATGGTTCGCCCGTTCAATGGGCCAAGAACCGTCGCAGGTAAGGTGGGATATGGAGCTAAAAACGCTCCTACGGCCCATTTAGGCCCAGGAGTTCGAAGGCTGGCCCTCTGATGGGTTCATAGCCGCTTCGGGGCACCCTTAGAGTGAGGGGTGGAAAGGGTTGGGCCCACTAAGTGGCCAGTACCTGGGCGCACGAGCGCCATGGGCATCCCGGCCCACGTTCGAGTCTTGGTCAGTTCCCAGTCCATGGTTTTTTCCTCGAAGAAAGACAACGAGCCCTCGGGACCGGCCGAACGGATCCAAGAACTATATGGACTAGCCGCCAAGAGTCTAGAGTCGGTCACCAGCTGACCCATGCCGGATGCCCGTGAACAGGAAGCTAGGGCCCCACTCGGACTAGCCTGCTAATAGCTCACCGAGCATCATGTTTCGTCCATCAAGGAAAAACATGGCACGGCTCATCCCCTTCGTTTTTTCAAAAAAACGCTCGAGGGACGACGATCACGAAGATGAGCCGACCCTCGACTAGACCCCTGCTATGCGTGGGGGCTCGAGGAAAGTAGGACTCACAAGGAGACCGAACGCTTGGTCGCAGTACGACGGTGGACTGATCGGATCCTAGGGGACCGGGATCAAGAAAAATCTTTCCGACCTCCCGAATCCTACGGATATAAGCCCCCAAGAAGACCAACCGCGACAAAAGGGAACCGCCATCCTACCAAGACGCACCGTGGGCCACAAAAAGAAGGCCAAGGCCCTCAGAGTCCTCCCGTCCAGAAAAGCCTCCAAAGGAGTATTCTACTCCTCCGCAGGCTCGGGGGCTACTATCGGATATCGATAGTAGGGATACCCAAAACAAGAAAGTTAGTGCCCACGCTAACTTCCCCGGATGGAGCAAGATGTATTAAAAGTTCTCGCCCGACCCCGAGGCCATGGGCTCCATCTCGCCCAACCCCTTGGTTGGGGGCTCCTTATCGCCCGACCCCAAGGCCGCGGGCTCCTTCTCGCCTGACCCCAAGGCCACGGGCTCAGTCTCGTCTGACCCAAAGGCCGCAGGCTTCGCATCGCCTCGACCCCTTGGGTGCGGGCTCCGTCTCGCCTGACCCCGAGGCCGCAGGCTCCGCCTCGCCTGACCTCGAGGTCATGAGCTCCGTCTCGCCCGACCCCTTGGGTGCGGGCTCTGCCTCGTCCAACCCCTTGGGTACAGGCTCCGTCTCGCCCGATCCCAAGGCCACGGTTTTTGTCTCGTCCAATAGGGACCCATACCACCGCCAATCACTCTAGGTCCAAGCGTATGGGTCTGGGTCAAAACTCTAACACTAGGGAAGAGACTGGTATGCCTCAATGTAACTTGTGGCCATGATGGGCCATACCTGAGGATTCATATCAAGAACAGTGTCGGGCGTGCCGGTGCTATTTCTGCCTAACCCTCGTATGAACGCTGACAGGCGCGTCAGTTCACCATGACGTCCGTCGGGACGGAATGGAGCACCATGACCAGCAGAGGATGCCTGCGCATGGCGCCAGTGAGGAATAGGGCCGTGACGTGGAGCCGTCCCTGTTGACATCTACAGGATCGGCGGGACCCGCATGAAGGAGAAGAAGGACCCGGCCATCCTAGAAGTCTTCTTCTTCTCTCTCGTTCTTCTCCTTTTCGTCCTCTATAACCCGCGCTTTCCTTTCGCCTATAAAAGAGGAAGCAGGGCGCCCCTACTGGGGGATCGGACAACAAGCTAGAAACACAAGAGTACGACACGAGCACACAGCTGACCGGGATAATCGAGCTCTCAGCACCTGTTCACTCCTTCCACCAGAGACTTGGGATCCTCTCCCTCTCTCGCCTATTTGTAACCCCTACTGCAAACCAAGTGCCGGTAACACGAGCAGCAGCAAACTGGACGTAGGGACGTTCCGCCCGAACTAGTATAAACCCTTGTGTCCTCCGAGCACACCATCCGAGCCAGACGCGCAAATACAAATTTACTTGTCAGTGGTCCGAAAACACCGACACGGCGGCCCGCGCCGGCGATGCATCCTGACAGCGCTGGGTTGGGAAAGAGGCCGGGGAGGCACGGCATGGTCGGTTTGGGTGGAGGAAGGAAGCAGCAGTGGCGGCGCGGGGCTCTACTACTGCCAGCGAACGGAGATGGGGAGGGCGAGACGGAGCGGAGAAACAGAGACAGGCGAGGCGGAGTGAAAGCCGCGTCCAAACCGACGCGAGCGAACGGACGCCCGCGTTCAAGTATTTCCAAAGATAAATAATATTTAAAGTGTCACTGAGATGATAAATTAAAGATAAAAAAATTATGTTATATGACTTTTTCTTTAGTCAAATATGCTTTTCGTTTTCAACCAAATCAATACTTCTTTTTTTTTAGATAATAAAGAAAGATAAAAACAAAAAAAATATTGAACAAAAGAGGGGAAAGCTAATAGGAAAACTAATCCTATATCGTATAAATACCATTAAAAATCAATAAAAAACACTTTCCTTGTGGCCTTGTCGGCGCCTGCCTGATTGTGCACGTGACATTTCATGGCTCAAGCACCAACAGATGGACAGGGGAGATGCTTCCATCCCCTCCATTTGTGGGAGAGAGAGGGTGTGATTTAGTGATTAAAAAATTAGTTGTTGGTGATAAGTAATCTGTTAGAGCACTTTAAGGGTGCGTTTAACAACTAGAAACGTTTTGGATTCTTAGTAGGAATACTAGAATTGCTATCATACGCCACAAAGAGAAAAACGTTTGAGGAAGAATCACTTACCGATTCTCGTTTTCGTACTTAGTCTAAAAAACCATCCAAAAACCTAGTTTCTCCTTATTTTAGTTATACAGAAATGTTTCTAGAGAATCTAAATCTAAAACATTGCTAGAAGAATCCAGATCACTACTAAATACATCTTAAATCTCCTAAATGGCAGCTTTTTTTTACTTAGTAATCTATTGAAGATGCTCTTAGATAACCGCAAGAAAGCCAGCAGCCTATGAGAGCTTCAAACGCGTACATACCATATGTGCAATGATCTCAATATTTATTTAGATAGCTTAAGGCCTCTTAAATCTTAACGTCCGTTGGATTTAAAAAAAAAACAGACACGCCAAACTTGTCGTAAATGAGGCACTAAACTAACGATACCGTAAATATCGTCGTGCTCCCATGCACGAGAATGTAAGCATTAAACCAACTGGAGTATTTGATTTCTTTATTTCAATTTAAACCATGTTTAACACGTATTACAAATCTCTCAGTTTAATGCATGTTCCTTTCTACGAACGCTGGAAAGCAACGGGTTACATCCGTATTTGCCAGTCCTAAAAGGTAAGTTCTAAAAGTCTCTCAGTTTAATGCATGGTACTTTCTACTAACTCTGGGAATCAACGGGTTACATCCGTATTTGCCGGTCCTAAAAGCTAAGTTCTAAACAAGGACGCTAAAATCAAAAACTCATGTAGCTACTGCCTCCACAATGGGAAAGAGCCCAGGGTCACTTATAAACAACAGGAAGCTACTGCCTCCACCTCGTGCCAACTACCAGTTGTCAGAATTGCCATCATTTTGTCCTCGCTATGTCCTCTGATGTATATGGCCCTGTTCCCCTCGGTGAAAAGCCATGGCTGAAAGTACCGTTCGCTGATTTGTTGTGAGAGAAAAACACGGTTCCTTCACTGAAACAGTACGGCTCATAAGACAGGCGACCAGGGCCTATGTATAAACCACTGGAGTTAAAAGGTTAACCCCCTCTTTTGATCAAAAATCAAAATCAATTAACCCACCAGCACCGACTTGCTGCTAGAACCATCTGCGCAATCTGGACTCAAATGACCTCCGGGGCCTATTTGAGATCCTGTTGTACCTAGTCTTAGCCAATCCGCTATCACTGACACTACCGCCCACAACATGATCATGAGCTTCTGAAAATTCCTCTGACCATGGTTCTAGGGGAATAAGATGACTGTCATCCTTTGCCTTCCTCTTTTGCTTCTCAAGCTGCTTGACGTTTTCTGAGATTTGATGAATTGTCTTATTTATCTTTGTAAAACTCCGCTCCATAGGCTCCACGACATGGGAAACTGTATATTTGACGTCATCAACCATCTGAAAAGTTGCAACATAAACAAACGAGTCAATAGTTAGGATGGATTGAATATGTCAGGATGAAGCAACTTGAGTGTCAGAAGCATACGATTTCACCGCTGCCCAACACAACATCACGAACACTCTGAGAAAAACTCAACCGCCTGTCTTTAGTGGCAGGAGTTTGCAAGACTGTTAAGCTGTCAATCCCTCCTCCGATTTCTTCAGGATCTGGAGCTCCCAGTGATGCATAATCAGACATGACAGCCACATTGCGAACACTTCTTTCCCCACGGCTGTAAGGTTTAGCTGGAAAGACTTTTAAATGGACCACTGCAGCAACCCCCATCTGTCATTCAAGAGATTTGTTACAGGAATGAACTTAAACAGGCCAGGATACGAGCATCAATAGTAATCATCAACACGATGAACACAATGGATGTACGCATGCCAAAAAAAAGTATTATCGTGACAAGATCTACTTGAGACAAGAAATTCATGGGGAAAACAACCCAACAATATTGAGACATGAAACTAGCAGGTTTTCGCAGCCATTCTCTTCACAATGTTTGCACAGAGCATAAAGGGAAGTTGTGTAAATTAATTTACAGCAAATATTCATTGATATGGAGGCACACCAAAATTTTAACAGTGACACAGTACACATAATATCAGGATAACAGACTAAATAGAATAACATAAGACAATTCAAGATAATACTTGGGCGTACCTAGTGCAGAGAGCTCCCGCTCTGTGCGGGGTTTGGGGAAGGGTGTCAGTGGCAAGCCTTACCCTCGCCTGTGCAATGCGAGGAGACCGCGACTCGAACCCGGGACCTTCCGGTCACAGGCGGTAAGACTCTACCACTTGCACCAGGCCCGCCCTTCAATTCAAGATAATACTTAGCACAAGTATATAGTATTTATCTTTCCAGGCAAGAAACAGGTACACGAGTATTAGCACTGATCTAGATTTTTCATATAATTAACTAATAGATAGATATAACTTCCTAAGGGTGTCTCTAATGGTCTAGCTTAGAGCTAGCTGAATCAATTTTTTAATCACTTAATAGTGCAAAAAGCAAGAGACTAGTGTAGACTCAAGAGATAGTCCCGCACATTTCACGATGCATCCCTCTCTCACAGCACGATGTTCAGGGCTACTAGCTACGGTCTCTCTCTCCTCCATATTTATCAGCTTATATAGTTGGAGACGTGCTAAGGAAAAAAGAGCATGGAATGACCTAGCAAGTTAACATTAAAGTTTTTTTCTTTGTTGTTCTGGCATCATATGGAAAAGTGAACCAAACAAAATTGGGCATAAGCTAAACCATGACAGTGGACAAAAAAAGTCAGATAAAACAGACCTCAAGGCATATAATGTAATCCTGGATACGTGTTTGAAACCTTTGTGCCAAATGTCCATTAAAAAGTCCAGTTGAGAAAAGAAACGCAACAGCAACACCCTGCCACCAGGTCAAAAACACAATAGATTTGAAAGTAAGAAACTTGGACAGAGGCTTTATAGGTTCCAGCTTCTCCTTGGTAGCAGTATAAAACTGTATAAGACAATATAATGCCCATGTCTGGCTGAAATTTAGGACAACAGCCAAATATGGATACCTGCAAATGAATCGACAAAATTCATGAGGATGCAAAACTTGAAATCTTTCAGTCACTTGAGTACAAAATTTGAAAAGTTTAAGCAAGCATTGACTAGGTGTTAGACTGTTCTTGACAGAAGTATACTTATAATTCCAAAATAAAGTATTCAAAAGAACAATAGCCAAATAGCGCACAACTGCACAAGCAATGGAATTGATTCATACTCGTACCCGTATTTCCACCCAAACTTTCCTTCTCCATAGATTCCAAGAAGTTCAAAGAAAATTGCCAAGACAGCACAGATAGGTTTGAGGATCATCTAGAAAGTAGGAAACCACAATCAATCAGAACAGATTAAACAGGATTAAGCAAATTAGAGAAATGTGACCCCTCATGCATACATACATATTGCACAATACCAATCTTCACAGCATGGTAGAAGTCGGGACCAAGGTACCAATTTCTCATAAAGCAGCTCAATGGGAAAGGATGCTTCACAATGCCATAATCATAATCAATATCTAGCAGAGGTGAGCTCTCACTTATTTGGAGCCGACCCTCCATAAACCTAATGGTACTTTCCTCCCCACCTTAAATGACAAAAAAAATGGTCATATAAACATGATAAAGGAAAAAAGGAAGCTAAAATATAACTACATAAGTTAGAAAACAATATTTGAGCCAACCATCATTCAAACTATGCAGGCCCATGCATGATCAAACTAAAACAGGGAATAGACTTAGGAGTTTCACCAAGTTCTCATACTTATTTATGATCAAATTTTTATTTCTGTAAATTTGAATAGTTGAAAAACGTAAAGGATATCATTCCACATGAATACTTTGATACAGTTATATTTCTTTTATGATCACATATATTTTGTAAGTCGTGGCATTAACCAAGTGATGGACAAGACACCACAATGTTTTATGTAGCAGATAATGCAAGGGTCAAGTTGAAGTGGTTTGGTAGCACATAGCGGGAAACAATACAGCAGGTGCAGAACAATCAGCTATTTTATTTTTATAAGAAAGAAAATAACATGAACCTGACCAGTCAATTTTTTGAAGTGAAAAGGCTTATCTTGCATCAGGATAACTTAGTGGTGTGCCCTAAGTATTAAGAGCAAGTATTCAACATGAACAGGACCATAATATTTAAGAAATGGAGTAACCAAAGCAAAATCTGAAATTGCATCGTATTGAAGGGTGACTGCCAGTAAAAAAGAAACATCACATGCTATAGAAGTCATAGCAGCATGTAATGGGACTCTACATCATCACTAATGCCAGAGCTTGAAAAAGATTAAGGGGACCAAACTCAGATACATAAACCTATATTAGTTTTGTTTTGTTTTTTTGTATTACTCAAGTGATGAAAACTAGTACTCCCTCCATTCCAAATTATAAGACGTTTTGGCTTTTCTGGATACAATAGCTTTTGCTCTACACTTAGGCCCCGTTTGGCAGGGCTTCACTTCACTAGTGAAGCCATTTTTTTTTGGCTTCAGCTCCACGAACAGCTCCACCGGTGGAGCTGAAGCGGTTTTGGTAAACCGTTTGGCAAAATGGCTTCCCTGTGAGAGCATGTTTTTAGGGGCCTGGAGGAGGAGCCGGGAGAAGCCACTATTTTTTGCTCCTTCCCACCCCAAAGCTCTGTGAGAGCACGTTTTGTGGGGCTTCATCGGTGGAGCCGTTTCATTTTACCCCGTTTGGCAGAAAACGGCTCCAAACGGCTCCTGAAGCCGCTGGAGAAGCCCTGCCAAACGGGGCCTTAGATATACAATATCTCTATATACATAGGAAAGGCAAATGCATCTAGAAAAGCCAAAACGTCTTATAATTTGTAATGGAGGGAGTATTTCCTAAAGAACTTTCTATAGTAGGGACCCTTGATCTACATTAAGCGCTGCCTATGGACACACACCACAACTGTACAGCACGCCAGACCAGCTGCTGCTCCTGGTCGTTACCACAGATGAGAACACAAATAAGAACCTTCTGCTTAAGAGCGAAATTCCTCTTTATTCTGCTGCTGAGAATGGAAGTATTGGTGTGCCTTACTTCCAACTATTGGTTAACTGAAGATATTTCACTTGTGCAGAATTCCAACAGATATTCAAATACTCACCTAAGCATGCTATCAAATATCTCTCAAAACAATACATGGCAAATGCCTCGTAACAGTCACGCATCAGTTCACAGATGAATGCGACATTCGAATCCAGTAATGAAAAGAACTGCAAAAAGCACAAGAAACATTATATATTTCCAACAGTAAATAAGAATGCTGCCAACACTGAAGAAACAAAATCAAGGTTGTTTTAGAATTTACTCCCTCTACTCAGAAATATATGATGTCTAAAAATTTCAGCAGACAAACTTCAACTTTGACCGCTGATATATAAAGAAAATATTTAGCTGCATGTTATGATATTATTAGTTTGCTATGAAAACAACTTTAAGTGTACAATATCTCAAGAGTCTGTAACTTTGTATATATGCATTACTCCAAAAGCTCAGTCGAAGTTGCTTATTAGTGACATATATGGTCCAATCGCCTATTCTTGAACAGATGAATACCATAAAATAAGTTCAAGTTCGTGAAAGCCAAAACAAGTTACAATAAGCGAATACAAGTATTATAAAGTGTATCAAAGACAGCATATTTTTAAAGAGTGGGTTGCAGTCGCTGAACATCTATGTAAAGGTTAATGTGATCTCATCTTATATCACTATATACAAAACTAAAGAGGGGTGGACCAAATAACATAATAGTATGACTATCAATAAACAACAAGGAGAACAGAGAACTTTGTAAAAAATTACATAAGTATGACGAAGACAAATAACAAGATTGTATTTTTGTACCATCCGAATATATTCAGCATTCAGATTCTCTCCAAGTATCATAATTATGATATGAAGATTAAACTAATTTAGGAAGTGATGGCAACTTATTGGCAGAAATGCTGGGATAGAAAGCAAAAGTAGCTGTATCTACTTACTGATTGAACAGCATATACTGGAACCATCAGAATCAGACCAATCATGAATTTTTGCTCCTGAAATATGCATAGTGATTAACTGAATCAGAAAGTAAAAATGGATAAGAACAGGGTGAATAGTCGAACATCTTGCACACATATAAAATCTTTATTAGGAGAATATTAATAAATCAAAACCAAGGTATGAAAGCAATGTACCTCAGGTTGATGGTATGCACACAGATGCTCAAAGGTTAGAAACAACGACAGAACAAGAGCCACAGTTACAGATGTTCCTGCACTCAAAATTGGCCAGCTTGGTAATGGCTTTGATGCTGAAACGAAGCCAGGAGAGAACATGTTCCCTGATCGAGCCAGACAACTGCTCACATGGGCCAGCACCAAAATGAAACGGATCACATTTTTCAGTGCCATACTGTCAGTAAAGATAATGACAAGTGTTGGGATTGTCGTCTTTAGCTACTCCTAGCTTTGTTCTTTTACAGGCTAGAGGATTGGAGGATTCAGAAGCTAAGGGGCAATCTTTTTTGGTATTCCTGTAGTCTTCCCAAACTGCTTTTAATGCTCTGCAACACTTCTCTGTAGAGCATGCCGGTCCTTCCCTATATTAGAAAAGCAGATTTCTTTAAAAATTTCTAAAGTGTAACAACAAAGAATGCAGCATACTAGAATCTTTGGTAAGCAACCGCATATAAGATTGAACAATTCTTCCAGCCGAGATAGTCTGTCCTATTATATTGTAGTCCTATAGGATTTGAAACCTACACGGCCAACAAATTGTTGGAAATGCTATATTTCTATGGCAACTCACTATGAGGTCAGCAAATAACTGCATGTTCCCTGATATGTTAACGTATTTTAATGACTATGGTCTATTCTTCAAGCAACTAGGGGTTAGTAGGTGTGCATTTCTATTCTCCAGCAAAAAAAATGCAAGAATGAAGTATACGAGTTTGCTCTTTTTCAGTATATAACCAGGAGTTGGATTCTTTGAAGGGTACAACGATGCAACAGCTGAGCTAATCAATAAATCCTTTGGCTGAAAGATTTTATTAATGTTCCTGGATAAATGTCTACAGAAAAACTAGCAAAAAAATCTGCATTTATGTACTATAGAAGATGGTACAAGCAAATCATCAGTGAACAGTGACACGGTGCTCTATTGTAGCTAGGCAGATTAATGGTAACATTCACAAAGGGCTTATGAGTGACTGTTGAAGGATCTCATGTTCCAGTTATACCAAGAGTAAAAAACAGAACCTACAATCAGTAAAGGAGTTCCAGGCACAGGGGCAAAAAGCAACCATATAAACACACCAAACAACTAAGCCGTACTTTTTCAGCCAACGAACAGTATTTTTCTCTCACAACAAATCAGCAAACAGTACTTTCAGCCATGGCTTATCAGCCAAGCGAACAGGGCAATCGATATTGTGAACTATGTGTTTGCTCTTGCTGCAAGTGCAGATATTGTGATAAGAATCGGCCAAAACATCTCATGATGTGAAGGTTGGGAATTTTCATTCCATTATCTAAGAAAACTACAGCCACTGCCGAGTGCCCACTGCTCTACATGTGGTTTCCACACCGATTCTACATGCAGATTGCATGGTAAAAGTTGAATGCCTATCCTTAAGCCTTGTTTGGATGCACATGTATTCACATGAATCTATGTGTGTTGAAGTGGATCGGGGTGGAAATTAAACTAAATTCGACCCCCAATCCGCTCCAACACTCATAGATTGAGATGGATACATGTGCATCCAAACAAGGCCTTAGTGGGGATAAAACCAATTGTCACTGCTGAGGCTTCCTCAACATAATACTCAGTAAACACCATATTGCCAAATATAGAATGCCATGAAAATCAACACAAACTGGTAGGTGCAGCATCACCGTGGGGCATGGGGGTTCAGTTAAACCAACAACAAAGTTTATCTAGTTCAGGGTAGTGGCGCCCTAATCCATGAACTCGAAAACTCAGAACAAGAAGACGAACCGAATCTAACCGTCGAAGGATCAGGTGTACCCCAGAACTCCACAACTACTAACCGCATGCATTGGAGTAACCCCTACGACGGAAGAATTGGAGTCGACTGCTCGCGGAAGCAAACGAGAGAGAGAAAAAACAGAACAAATTAGAACGATCCGAGCGGGTCAAGGGCTCACCAACCAGTCCTGATGAATCCCCACTCGACGCCGTTCGAGGAGGGGTGGGGGGCAGGTGGTCCGTGGAGGAGGGCGGGGGGCGGAGGTGCCGAGTCGCCGGGCACGTGAGCAGGGAGGGGGATCCGAGGTGGCGTGCTCTGGCGGAAGGAGACCTGGCGGCGTGTTCGGCGGAACCGGACGGCAGAAGATGGGAAGGGAATAGGCTTTGCCGCTTTCCTCTTGGTAACGATGGCGTGCCGCGTGCGTGGTGCAGTGCCGCTTTCCTCTTGGTAACGATGGCGTGCGTGGTGCAGTGCAGGGCAACACTGCACTCTGCGGGTGGGCCCAGGGATCTCTATCCAAGGCGTTCGTTGCGGCCCGAGTTCGTTCTTGTCTTGTCCGAAGCAAATTCGATTCAGATAATTACTTTTTTTAGCAAAATTCAGATAATTACTTTCTTATTATCTAAAAAAAGTTTCACTTTAATTTTGAACTTACCTATTTGGCTCGAATCCAACTTTGATTCTTATTTAGCCCATCTGTTAGGTTTGGTTACTCACGGTGTTAGGTGGGACACGAATGGACACTTTTACCTCTATGTGAGATAGGTAAAGAGTATACATAGTTTAATTTGGTATATTTTATTTTTAGGATTATTTAGACTAATTTTGCATGGTCTAGGACATCATAATTGCACAAACCATATAAAATAGTTTAAATAATCCTCAAAATGAAATATAACAAAACTAATCTTTGTCTGTCTTGCCCAGGGGTAAGAGCATCAATTCGTGCCCCCGTTAATGGCCAAATCTTACGGAATGGACGAATAAGAAACTGAAGTTGGATTTCGGTCCAAATATGTTAGTTCAAAACTAAAGGGACCAAGAAAGAAAGCATAGCTTTTTTTAAGTCAAGGAAGTAATTCTCTCGATTCAATTAATAAGAACCCATTTGGGTTGTACGGTGATTCTTATATCAGTAAAGTATCTCCTATTAGTCATGTTTCATTAGATTGTTTTTTCTATCGGAATGTTAAAGTCTATTAAGAGTTTAAGGCTGAGTACAGTTGGGCCCTAATAATTAATTAATGTTGCTAGTGTACTGGTAAATACTACTTCCGTATATCAGAGCACTCCCTATGTCCCAAAATAAAGTGTCGTTCTCGTTTCTCCAGGTGTTAAATGTTTTTTACATTATCCAAATATATACAAAAAAATATTAATATTTATAGTACATATTAGCATCATTAAGTAGATCATTGAATCTATTTTTATAATAAACTTATTTAGAGATATAAATATTGCTAATATTTTTTATACACTCAGTCAAACTTAATAAAAATTGGACGTTTATTTTGGGACGAAGAGAGTAAACAGCATGGAAAAACATCAATGTTGCTTGTGTTGTAAGTCTGTTTATGACACGGCCCTTCTGATGTACTAATAACAACCTTGGTGGCTGCCGATTTAAGATCAGTGTAAGTTAAAGGATACAATTTCCATAAAGAAATACTTGGAAAACAACGCGGCATTATAATCTCAGTTGCCTTCAGACAACCGCTGCAGCTTCATTGCCGTGAATAGTGTTAAAGCGTGAAGCCAACGAACCAGATTTGACAGAACTGTTTTTTTCATCAATCCTGAAATATATTTATACAAATGAAGGGGTGTCACGAAGAGACACGACTGTTCCCAAAGACATACCCTTTGGGATTACAACTAATTATCTAATCCTATCCACTAATCATATGCTTGATGGATGAGATTACTCGTGAAGAGACGCCGGATCTCTGTAGACGCCCGTTCGCGTATAGGCGTTGTTTCACAACACTCCTTCTTGATCGAATCTTCCTTGAGATCAATGCAGCTGTAAGCTGAAATTCCTCGAAAAATCCTATGGGAAAAATCTGAGGAATATATAATATGTCATAAAAACTCCTTTAAACTTTATTGAAGAATAAAGAGAAAATAGCATATTTATTTGTGATTTAACTAAACCACTATGTCATTGCTATCCCATTAAAAACCTCAATGGGGGAAAATATTGGAGATACGACATAAAGATAACTCTCCAAAAAACTTTTTCAGGAAAAATATGAGGAGCAATATAAAGTGATATGTCGCTAAAACTCCTGTAAAAACCCAGTGGGAAAATTAGGAGAAAATATGACGACATATTATTGGTATTGCCTCTTGGATAACTCACATAAAAAACCTTTTCAGGGAAAAACCAAGAATGAGTTGTGAGGGCAATATGTGTCTTTGATATTTCCCAAAAAAAAACCCCGGTGGGAAAAATAGGAAATATGACACATGCTTAGGTTAATATTACCTCATTAAAAACTTTAACAAGAAACCTTGTAAGTAAAACTTGTGAAAGAAAAGAATATAATATGATGCTGGTACAGGTCAACATTTAGGAGATGTCTTCCCCTAATTCTGGCACATCTCGAAGTCACCGCATACCAATTCCATGTACCAATTTTTGAAACACAGAAGTTGGTAAGGACTTAGTAAATAGGTCAGCGAGATTATCACATGACTGGATTTACAAGATGTTTATTTCCCCTTTTGTAACTTATGGGGAATAAAATAGCTTAGGGGCAATGTAGTTAGCGACATTACTCTTTATGTAACCTGTTTGCATCTATGTAACATAAGCGAAATTATCTTTATAGATAATTGTAGGTGATTTAATCGAACCAATATCACATGTCTGTTGTATATGGTTAATCATTCTGCGAAGTCATACACATTCATGTGATGCCTCGTATAGAGCAATAATTTCAGAATGATTAGTAGAGGTCGTCGTCAGAGTCTGTTTAGAAGACTTCATGAAATGGTTGTACCTCCATGTAAGAATACAAATCCAGTTTGGAATGGGGACCAGATAAGTAACCAGCATCCGTGTATCCAATCATATTGGAATCATGATTTCTCTTAAAGAATAAACCAATATCATTTGTGTCACTAAGATATCTGAGGATATGATTCGCTCCCATCTAATGACGGTGAGTTCGATTTGCACTATGTCTAACTAGTATGTTCACTGCAAATGCGATATCAGGCCTGGTGTAATTTGCAAGATACATAAGTGCTCCAATGACACTAAGATATGGAACCTTGGTCCCAATATCTTTTCTCCAATATCTCGTGGTCTAAATGAATCTTTCTCTATTTCTAAAGAACGAACAACCATCGGAGTTTTGTTATGATATGATTTGTCTATATTGAATTTCTCCAATATTTTATGGATATAGGTTGATT